ACACAGACACACACATACACACACACATATACACACAACACAGAACACACACACTGTACCCCAAGACACATATACACACAACACAGACAGACACACACACTTCAACACACACATATACACACAACACAGACAGACACACACATACACACACACTCGAACACACACATATACACACAACACAGACACACACACACTGTACTCCAATACACACATACACACACACACAATACTCCAACACACACATATACACACAACACAGACAGACACACACATACACACACACTCCAACACACACATATACACACAACACAGACATACACACACTCCAACACACACATATAAACACAACACAGACAGACACACACACTCTAACACACACGTACACACACACTGTACTCCAACACAACACAGACACACACAGTACTCCAGCACACACATATACACACAACACAGACACACATACTCCAACACACACATATACACACAACACAGACACACGCACACTCTCTACTCCAATACACACATATACATACAACACAGATAGACACACACACACACATACACACACTCTATTCCAACACACACATATACACACAATACAAACACACAAACTCTAACACACACATATACACACAACACACACACACACTCTACTCCAATGCACACATATACACACAATACAAACACACAAACTCTAACACACACATATACACACAACACACACACACATTCTACTCTAAGGCACACATATACACACAGCACAGCCAGATACATACATGCACACACACACACAGTAGTCCATCCAGTCACCTCCCACTCATCTCCTGATCTCAGCTCAGGCCCCACCTCTTCAGGGACAGGGTCACATCTCTGTAATGCAATCACACTGCACCCTCTTCTCCTTTGTGCCACTTATCTAGTTGGTAAATAGAAATTTATTTCTATGGGCGTGTGTTTAAAATCTCTCGGCCTCACTAGAGTGTGAGCTCCAGGAAGAGAGGGATGGATGTGTAGGTTTAACTCACCAGGTGTAAAACAAGAGTTCATTCAATAAGTCTTTGTTGGTTCAGTGAATGTCTGGTTGATTGACCCCCTAACAGTGAAAATGGAATTTGCAAAAGATGGGGTTTACTGAGATTCATTAAAATGAAAAAGAAGGAACTGGGGTTAATTGGGAAACAGGTTAGGGAAAGTTTGGGAATGAGAACAGGATTTCTCAACAAACTAAGGAACTGGGGTTAATTGGGAAACAGATTAGGGAAAGTTTGGGAATGAGAACAGGATTTCTCAACACACTATAAATAACCCAGAATGTTAGACTAACAATGATTCACCCTATAGGGATGTTCTGCACAGGAAAAATGATGTGGATGCTGGAGAAGATCACTCGTGCCAGAGTCGTCCGAGTGCGAGTTAACAACACTAGAGTTTATTGTTAGTCAAAAAATTAGCATGGGGAGAAAGACTTTACAAGTGGGAGGGCCTGAGAGGGTTGCTCCAGGTATGCCCCTCCCTTCCTGAAAGCAGCAATAAACCCCACCTCAAATAAAAGGATCGCACAATGCCCCTTTGTTCTCTGCTCCTGCTTTCGGAAAGAAGTAATTTCCATGGAGGAAAGTATGGAGGAAAGTAGGAGCCGGAACAAGACGCGGCCGCCCTGTCGCCAGCCTGGGCCCCTACGGCCCTTTCTCCTGAGCTTGGGCCCGAGCAGCCTGGTCACGTCCCCTCCCTGCATGAGGTCCTCAGGATTCCTCTTCCCCTCAGCTCAGGACACAGCCTTCCCAGGCCATCCGGCCCTGGCCTGTCTGCACAGCCTCAGCCTTTGCCACTCTGCTCCCCGCGTCCATGTACTGGATGGGACACTCCTGTGAGCTTTCTCCTCTTAGAAACAGTTCTTGCTACCAAAACCCCCCTCCCTGGCTAACTCGTATGTGTTTCTTTAGGAGACTATGTAAATAAATATTCCTTTTTCCAGGAAGTCTTCCTGACTGTGCCACCTTGTAGTGTGTATGTGTATGTGTGTGTATGTACACACACACACATATATATATACACATCTGTACACACATGCAAATACATACATTATTTTCTGAGCCATTGAGATGTCTTATTTCTTTACTACACCTTCTTTAGAATGGATTCCTTAGAAACAAACATTTTCTTATATAACCACCATGCAATTATTAAAATCAGGATATTTGATATTATTAAAATGCCCAGTTGGTGTGGCTCAATGGATTGAGCATTGCTCCATGGACTGAGAGGTCCCAGTTTGATTCCCAGTCAGGCCACATGCCCAGGTTACGGGTTTGATCCCTGGTGGGGGGCGTGCAGTAGGCAGCCAATCGATGTGTCTCTCTTACATTGATGTTTCTCTCTCTCCTTCCCTTCTTCTCCCTCTAAAAAATCAATTAAAATGTTTTTTTTAATTTTTTAAATAAATAAAATACTATTTCCTAATCTGCATTTATATTCAAATCTTGCCCATTGTCCAATAATGTCCTATACCTATTTTTATCTCCCCCAAGTTCAGTATCCAATCCAATGTTACACATTACATTTGTCATCTCTTTTTCGACTTTTTACATCAGACACAGTCCTCTGACCTTTAACATTTGAAAAACATAAGCTGGTTATTTTGTAGAATAGCCCCCAATGTGAGGTTTTTTGATGTTTTCTTGTGACTACCACAGAAGTGATAATATGTCCTTCTCAGTACATCGTATCAGGAGGCCGCAGATGTCAAGTTCTCCCAGTATTGGCGATGTTGCTTTGATCTTTTGGGTAAGGTGGTACCTGCCAGTTTCCTGCACTACAAAGTGATTCTTTTTTACAATTGTAGTTAATAATTTGAAGGGGACTATACTTTGAAACTATGGAAATGTCCAGTAACTCATCAAACTCTCATCCAGCATTTCATATCTGCTCTATTTTTTTTTTTTTTTTTATCCTCACCCGAGGATATTTTTCCATTTTTTGTACAGATAGAGTTGGAGGGAGAGAGAGAGAGAGAAACATCGACGTGAAGGGACACATCTAGTGGCTGCCACCCGCACGACCAACCAGGTCCGGGGACAAACTGCAACCGAGGTACGTGCCCTTAGCGGGAACCGAACCCGGGTCTCTCCGGACCGCAGGCCGATGCTCTAACCGCTGAGCCAAACTGGCCAGGGCCATATCTGCTCTATTTTTTTTTTAAATGTGGATGGTTTATTAGAAAGCAGTGTGGGTTTTTTGTTGTTGTTTTTGTTTTTTTTAGAGGTACGTACCCCTAGCGGGAACTGAACCCGGGACTCTCTGGTCCTCAGGCCGACTCTCAACCATTGAGCCAAACTGGCCAGGGCATATCTGCTCTATTTTTAAGAAAGTTTATTTTACATTGTTTTTATATTGTTAATAATGAAAAAGAGTATGATGATGATAAATAGGCACTTTGAGCCACCCCACCTAAAATACCTGCATCTCCCATATCAACCCTATCTCTTTATTTATGAAGGTCTTACCACCTAAAACTGTGAGACGTCTCATAGGCATGGCACTAGCCAAGGCAAGATTTCTCATCTGCATTTTCAACTCTATTCATGAATTATCTTTTCATTTCATTTTCTTTTACAATAAAAAAGAATCCATAAAAGAGACATATTTTTATAATGAGAAAGAAGATATACAATATTATTTCTGGCTTGTCAAATGTCATAGTACGGCTTCTGGTCACATTATGATGGGCATCAGTAATTGCATTCTTTTTCCATGCTTGCTGCAAGAACTCACTTAAGACTCTGAAGAGCTCCTTGAAGCCTTAGGGTCTGTGGATTGAAAATCGTTTGGATTGATTAAAGTCATGAGGAGAATTATGATAAGGGTCAGATCACATGGGTACCAGGAAAGGAAAATATTACCATTTAAACTAGAAATGGGATTTTTTTTCTCCTTAAGTGAATCATATTTACAATGACATGTGGGGTAGCTCCTTGTAAGATTAATAATGCCTGACATTCGCTCGTCCATTTATTCAAAAGAAAATCGTCCTGTGAGCCTACTAGGCGAGAGGCACCATTATATACAACTTCGAACTTGACTGAGGAAAGCTTTGAATAATATCCTTCTGGGTCTTTAAGCAAGATTTGGCCAGAAGGAACCTGGAGGACTCGCTTGTAGAATTCATTTAAAGAGCTCAGGAATGGAAATACCCTGGATCAAGCAGCAGTTGTCCGCCGTCTAGGGAGGTCGTCTGCTGGACAAGTGCTCCGTTTCCGAAAGCACCAAATGGAGTGGAGAGGAAGGAGGGGCCCCCAGCCCCAGCCAGCCAGATCGGAAAAGCCCGTTGGTGTTCCTGGAATGCCAGACAGCACATCCCTGTCACCTCAGACCCAAATGTCCAGGAAAGGAACCTCTCTCTTCTCTCCCACCTCCCACTGTCCTTTGAGATTCTGGCCACAAATGGGGTTCTCCAAAATATCGTTGGCATCCGAAAATTTTAGAGCAGGAGAAAACCTGAAGAATAGACAGGTTCCTTTCCCTTTAAGACACGTCTCAGCATACTGTCACATACTGTTCAATGTGTCCGTCACAAAAAGCTGGTGAGAAGAGTGAGGTTAGATCGTTTTCCTCATGTTACGTACAGTGTGGAAACCGAACACCAGCCAGGCGAGGGGACGGTTCAGTGTTAGCGATGAGCCAGAGCTAGAATTCGGACCTCTGGGGTCATAGCCCACCAGGCCAAACTTCTGCTAATAGCCCAGCTAGGTCATCAAAAGCCCTTCCCCCTTGTTTTCATGGTGCTTATCACAGCCTGGGTTGGGCATTATTTACATGAGCATTTGCTCCATGTCTCTCACCCTAGAACAAATATGGATGATGAGGACTGAACCTATTTTTCTCACGCTGTATCCCAGAACCTTCCTTGGACAGATGGGTGGACAGAGGGAGGAGCTGATATACGACACGTTTTTTCTGACCACAGCGACCTCATGTGTCTGTTTTCAGGCCGCACCTTGCTGCTGGAAATGGCCCTGTCGGTGGACTCCTCTTGGCACCGCTGGCAGTGGCGTGTCAGAGCTGGCCTTCCCCAGTCTCCGTCAGAAGCCACACCACTGCTGTCCCCAGAGAAGGAGAGGCGGGGCTACAACCTGACGCAGCAGCGGGTCGTGTTCCCCAACAACAACGTATTCCACCGAGACTGGGCCAAGGTCTCCAGGAGATACTCCGACAACAGGATCTGCACAACCAAGTACACCCTCCTGAGCTTCCTGCCCCGGAATCTCGCCGAGCAGTTCCACAGGTACACGGCCACGCGGCCACGCACTGCCCACTTGACCCAGATACCTGCCGCTCAGAGAACCTCAGAGATGTGCACGGTGGGCCACCTTTCCTTTAATACCCACGTGCGTGTACATGGGGAAGCCTCATCGTCATTCACCCATCCATTCAGTACAGATTTATACAGATTCTACTCAGATATTCCACAGATTCTACTCTGTGTTAGGCCGTGTGCTGAGTTCTAGAAATACACGAGGAACAAAAAGAGACTGTCCTGAGTATATTGTCCGGTAAAAGAGACATTAATTTTACAAAGTATATAAATAGATGTAAAATTATAACTCAGCTATTTCCAAGGAGAGCTATATGGTGGTGTTAGGGTAAGAGGGGACTCTGGCCTAGTTAAGAAATGCAGGGAAGACTTCCAGGAGGAACTGAGAATGGAAGTAGGACCTGAAAGAAGAGAATGCATTAACTGAGTGAAAAGGGGCAGACAGGAGTCAGCGAAGGGACCCAGGAGAATGTTCCTGCAGACAGATCTTCATGTGCAAAGGCACTGTGGCAAAGGGAAAACTTAAAAATGCAAGCCAGATAATATATGCAAAATCATCTTTTAATTATAAAGTAAAATATGCACTTTGATATCATCCTAAATTGTGTACATTATTATTATAAGCTACTATTTATTGAGCAACTACCATGCTCCAGAACCCTCTCTTGTATGTGTAAATGTTACACCCCCCTCCCCATGAGGTATCTATAAGAAGGCAGTACCAGCCCTGTTTTGCACAAGATGAAACAGGCTCAGGAAGGTTGCACAGCTCATAAACAATAGGAACCAAGTTTGAATCTACATAGATTTGGCTCCAAAGCCCTTACCATTATGTTCGAGGTGACACTGAAAAAAAATGTCATTTTAGTTGGTTAAGGGCCAACAGTAGGGAAGAGATAGTGTGCAGAGTGTAATTTTCTTCTCCGTGATACTCACTCACACCTTGCTTGCCCCTTGCAGGGGGGCTAACCTCTATTTCCTGTTCCTGGTGATTCTGAACTGGATGCCCGCCATCGAAGTTTTCCACAGGGAAATCACCATGTTCCCATTGGCCATTGTGCTGTTCATCATCATGGTCAAGGACGGCGTGGAGGACTTCAAGAGATACCGCTTTGATAGAGAGATAAACTGCTCTCACATCCAGATATATGAAAGGTAAGAGGAATCATTCTTCCATTGTCTCTCTTGCAAATAGGTGACACAAACTCATCAGCATTTTCAGAAGATTGGTCTCTCCTCTCATGTTGTGTTCTCCTAAGTTCACTTAATTCAGTGATTCTCAACCAGGGCAAGTTTGCCCTGCAGGGGACATTTAACATTGTCTGGAGACATTTTTTTGTGGTCATTTTTGGAAGGAGGGTGCTACTGGCATGAATCTAGTGGGTAAAGGCCAAGGATAATGCCAAACATCTTACAATATATGGGACAGCCCCCTACAATAAACAATTGTGATCCAACCCAAAATGTCAATAGTGCTGCGACTTAGAAACCTTAATTTAACTTGTGTAAATACTCATACAGTTAAACACAAGGATGTTATATTATTAAGAGTAGGACTAAGGGCTCAAGAATTAAGCTCTAGCATTGACTAGATCATCTCAGGAGACCAAGTTTAGGAGATCTTTGAAGGGTGACCAGCCATGTCTCCCAAACAAGAACCTGAATACTGTTTTTAAAGCATCTGAGCCTCTTGGTTAAAAATTCTTGCTTTTAGAACTTAACCAGGTAGGTTTTAGGACCCAGAGTTGGCACACCTGTTCTGGGCTGCCTAGGATGGAAAAGAAAGATACATGTGGGTGACGTCCACATTCCAACAGGTGGAGTCTCAACAAGTAGGAGGAAGTGTACACCTGTTCTTTGCAAGCTCCTTCCTTGTCCGATTTCTGAAGGGAGATAAAATATATCGGGGACATGACTTGCTTGACTTGCTTGTTGTGAGCAATGGAACTGATCAGGGGGAAACTTCTTTTACTTGGAACTCATGTGCCATGCTATGAGAATCAAAGAGACGGGATTGAGCAGAGATGAGGAAGGAAGGGAAGAGAAGGTGGAAAAGGAAAGAAGACAAGAAACGAGTGGTGGTCTCCAGCCTGCCCTTCGAAGGATGTTCCCACAAAGAGAACCCCAACAGACATTATTGTGGGAATCAAATTAAGACCAGCAAGTACACTGTGCTGTCCTTCGTACCCAAGAACATCTTTGAGCAGCTACACCGGTTCGCCAATATTTATTTTGTGGGCATTGCGGTTCTGAATTTTGTCCCCGTGGTCAATGCTTTCCAGCCTGAGGTGAACCTGATACCCATCTGTATCATCCTGGGGGTCACTGCCGTCAAGGATGCTTGGGAAGACTTCTGGAGGTACAAATCCGATAAAGTGATCAACAACAGAGAATGCCTCGTCTACAGCAGGTAAAGCCATACACTTCAGGGGCACCTGGTGGGCCCAGCTCGGTTCCGTCCGCAGCTGTTTAGAGAAGGGATGGAGCAGGGAGAGAACATTATTTTATCTCAGTGAAGCTGTTCAGTTCTTCACAGTGAAGACTGTGGTCTAAAACCAAAAACACAGAAAACAAAAAAATAATAATAGAGGCTTGGCTCGGTTGTTCAGTTGTTGATTAAAATTAGGAGGCGTTTATTATGGGGTGTTGTCTTTGCTGTTTCAAATGTGTTCGGTGTTTAAGAGGTTTAGATACATTCTCATTTACTCTTAGTCCTGTGTGGCCGCGAGCTCACTGGAGCGTGTTCGGAGCCCTCCGAGGAAGAGACACCGCTGTTCGCGGGGAGAGCAAAAGTGTTGTATTAAGAGAAGCAGCATCAAGACACATCGCCTGGGTTGAACACTGTCTCTAGTTACCTGACCTTAGGCAACTGACCTAACCTCTCTGAGCCTCATTTCTTCATTCATAAAATCAGAACACTTCCTGGGGTGGTCACGATGATTGCACAAGATTATCCTTGGACTGGGCTTAGCACTACACCCGACAAATAAGATACACATAAGCTGTGACTGCTTTGTTTTTGGAATATAGAACTTGTATTAGCTGCATCATCAACCTGTCCTTAAGCTTCCTCTCTGATGCCGTCCCAACCCAAGCAAGACCTGCACACCACCTGTCTTGCACACTTTCTGTTATTTGGTGCGGGTTGTTGTTTTACAAAGGTGCCGTTGAGAAATTGACCAGACTCGGTTGTTAGGAAAAGGACGTGATCGCAGTCAGTAAGGGAAGAAAACAGTTATCTTGTGTCTCAACTTTGTGACAACGGACGTAGCCTGGAAGAAGCAGGGCAGCCAAGCCTGGGCTTGCAGAGAGACTGCCTGACCGAGTGCATTCTGGGCCAGCAGGTAGACACCTCAGCTGATTGACTCACTGGCAGGTAAGGGCTCGACTTCTTGGCAAGTCAGGAAAATGTTTGTCTCGCTCAAGGAGCACTGTCCGTCTGACGTCATCCCTCTGACTTTATCGGCCTTAATTCCGCGGAAGTGCTGCCGTTGCCCTGGCCATTCTTGCTTCAAGGTGTGCACTGCAACCTACGTGTAGGGGCTGCTTCCTTCTCAGGAGGGGTCTCCTTCCATGGAGGGGCTCCTCTTCCTTGTGGGGTGGTCGGTGACCGACTTGGAGCTGGCAGACGAGAGGGCTTCTGATCCAAACTCCACTTGGAAAGTTGTCGCCAGGGAAACTTCTAAGGAGACATCGGGTGACTCACTGGTGCCCAGGGCACCCCCCGGAGATGCTCCGTGCTCTCCCTCAGCGTCAGATGAGCTCCCGGCCTCTGTACGTGCAGGACCACGGCGGCATCCAAACATTAATCTCTAGCTTTTGTTTGGGGGTTGTTGTTGTCTTCTCAGCGAGACCTAATTGTCTTGAGTGTTTTGGCACACCTAGACTTGAGATTCAGTCATCTCTCACCTGCGAATGAGGAATTGCAAAGAGAGGGAAAAGAAACTGTCGGGGTCGGGTGCCTTTCTCTGAGGAGACTGGTTTTGCAGGAAGCACAGCTTTTCTCCCGTCACCAATCCGCCCATCATGTTTCCGTTCCCCTGTGTTGTTTCTTCCGGAGCTGATAGCGAGCCAAGAAGCTGGTTCCCTGGGGAGGAGCGGGTGTGGACCTCAGTTAGCAGGGTCCTGTTCTCCCTGCTCTGCCAGAAATCCTCCGTCCTAAGCATCCCAGAATAATGGGCCTGTGCTTGGGGATCATGTCAGTACTGATCAGACCACAGACAGGCCTGGGGGAGGTCAGGCTGCTGTAGTTCTGTTCTCAGAGTAACTTCCGGGGAACAAAGAAAACCCAGGTGATAGTAACCCAGCCAAAAGATACGTTAGCCCACAGGCTCACTGGCAGGGAGGGGCTTTAGGGGGTTTTGTGACAGTACTTCCCAAAGTGTATTTAGTGGAATAACAGGGACAAAAACATGGTCTCTGAAAAAAAATCTATGGTCCCCCCAAAAAACTCTATGCTGGCCCTCCTAACCCATGGCCCATGAAGGGTTAAGGAAAGATGTACAGTAAAGAAACCTGTTCACTCAGTGTTGTTGCAAACTTACTGAACCTTGGAAATATTTTTTATTTTATTATTTTTTTAATAATAATTTATCTTTTTTTAATTGATTTATTAGAGAGAGGAAGGGAAAGAGAGATAGAAACATCAATGTGAGAGATACATGGATCGGCCGCCTCCTGCACGCCCCCTACTGGGGATCCAGCCCGCAACCCCAGCATGTGCCCTGACCAGGAATTAAACCAGGACCTCTCAGTCCCTGGGATGATGCTCAATCAACTGAGCCACACCAGCTGGGCTTGGAAATATTTTTTAATACTTATTCCTTTTTCCAGGATAACAAAACAATTGACTACAGGGCCAGGAAGGTGATTGAATAAAATAGACTAGATGCAAAGAGGAAAGCAATAATTTTTTGTGTACTTATAAATGACAACTGACACTTGGCATCAGTGCTAGGATGCAAGGGAGTGGGGGGGACTGGGCAAAGGGGTGAGGGAGATGCATGTATCTCAGGAGGCCGAGAAGGCCACTCAGCTCTAGCTGGTTACCATGTGAAAATACAGGGTGGGGCAAAAGGAGGTTTATAATTGTGAGTACATGGAACACAGTTTATTCTTTTCTCTTTTTTTCTTTATTGATTAGAGAGAGAGAAGAGGGGAGAGAGATAGAAACATCGATGAGAGAGAACATCGATTGGCTGCCTCCTGCATGCCCCCCACTGGCAATTGGGCCCACAACCTGGGCATGTGCCCTGACCAGGAACTGAACTGGCCACCTCTTGGTGCATGGGTCAACACTCAACCACTGAGCCACACCGGCCAGAGTTTATTCTCGTATTATTACTTATTAATCATTGTGTTATTTTTCCATACGAACAACTGTACGCCTACTTTTGCCCCACCTGTGTAGGCGTAATGTTGCTGGGTTGCCTGAGTTTTATTAGGGGAGCTAGAATTAATATTTTTATTGAAAATAACCTGATTTTTACATGGTAACTGATTGCTTTTTTTTTTTTTTTTCAAATACTTGAGACCTATTTTATTTGACATAAAGTTTTTATGTTACCTGTGAGCCCCCTAAGTTGTAACTTCTGCATTATAAGATCCTAGGAATCTGGTGTCTCTGTGAAAGAACAATTAGATGCTTTGGGCAGAGGCGGGTGTGACCTCGGAGCGAGCATGCCAGCCCAGGAGCCGGGCAGTCCGTGCTCCGGGATCAGGGGCTGACTCCTACTGCAGCCGACGCTTCAACAACACACCCGCGCAGTTCAAACCCATGTTTGTGAAGGGTCAGTGGTAATAGCTTAGAAAAGCAATTGAACTCTGGGTCTCAGTTTATACTTTTGTAATACTTAGGAAGCACACAAGACCTTGTGCTGTGAGATACACTATGAAAGAACAGTGTAAATAAACAAACAAGTCTGGGAGGTGGTACTACAGTGCTCGTTAACATCGTAAAGGTTCTGGTGGCCCCTGGTAAGTAACCTAACCAACTTTGTTTCACTTGGTCAGGTCAGTTGAAATGTTTTCTGCTGCAACTCATACAAGTTTAAATGGCAAAGAGACTTGTAGGTTTACGTCACTACAAAAGTCCTCAGTGGGCAAGGTGACCAGGCATAGTTCAACCTGCATTTAGATCCAGCACTTTGCTGTCC